TCAGATGTATTATTTTCTATCTCTTGATGGATTGTGTAATTGCTGATTAGATCAGTCAGCCTGTTCTGGGACTGATCTCAGCCTCCTGTGTGTATTTCCTTCTCAATAAATATTACTTTACCTTTTCCAAAAAAAAAAAAAAACAAGCAAGTTGAGGAGAGAAAGTTTGATCAACAAGGTGTACAAGGAGAGGTAGTTTTTTTTTTGATAAATAACATTAATTCCATTAAAATAATGAATAGATACAAGAAGATTCCCTTAGAGGCGCGAGGAGCAGCCTCTCCAAACAGCAAATACACAAACTACAACAGAGAWAACATGAATGTTGAAATTAAAACAATAGTTACAATTGTGCCCAGAACAATGTTTCCCTATTTATCCCTTGTTTTGCCAAGACATCAGCAAAAGCATTAGCTGATCTCCCAACCCATTGTACTGTTATAGACATATTTCTCGTCAGCCATTTGAATTTCTTTAACTCGTTTTTGTAGCCCCAAGTGACGTCCTTCGGATTATTTAACCAGTCCACCATTGTCTTAGAGTCTCCTTCAATCAGAAGCTGTTCCACGCCCACTTCTTTTGCAAGAAGTATTCCTTGTATTGCAGCTAACAGTTCTGCTCGGATAGAGTTCCCAACTCCTAACAGGCTAGAGTAGATTAAGACAACCTCTCCAGCCTCATTCCTCAGTACACCTCCCATCCCAGAGGGACCCGAGTTACCCTGGCTACTCCCATCAAAATTCAGCTTCAAAGAACCAAGAGGAGGGGGGACCCAGCTAGTCACTGCTCTTCCCTTGTAGGAGGAACAACTTGCTACCAACTTCCAATCCTTCCAACAATCAGTAAAAGTAAAATGGTTAAATAATTCTAGAGTCTTTAACCAATGTAATGACCTGGACAAAATGCAGTCCTTTAAGGTTTGACTGCTTCTTCCTTTTTCTTGGAAGATTCTGGCATTCCTTTCTTCCCATACTGTCCATAACAATGCTGCTCGTGAGCATCTCCACATTTTCCTTCCTCTTTTATGGGGCCAAGAGAAGAAAGAAGGGTTAAAGATTGTGCTTACTTCTGCTGGCATATCCCAACTAGACCCAAACAAAGATAGAAGCCAAGCCCAGAGCTCTGCAGTGACACTACAAGATAAAAATAAATGATTACAATCCTCACCATGAGATCTGCAAAGAATGCACCAGTTTGATGAAATACAAAGGACAAGTCTTCTCTTTTGTAGGTTGTCCATCGTGTTTACTTTACCATGCCACACTTCCCAGCACAAAGCCATAACCTTGGGGGGGACTGGCCTACACTAGACTTCATCCCTTAATCCTCTAAGGAAACCAAAATCCCAAGACAAAGCTGGTAAGAATAAATTCGACGGAAGGAATTTTGAGATCACTTCATTTTTATACAAGGAAACAGAGTACAATGGAGGAAAAAGGTCTTTCAAAGGGAGATCTCCAATCCAAATTTCCTCTCAAAACCGAATAGAATTACCTGAACAAGCATCATACCTGACACAACTAAGGAATTGCGGAAGAATTTTGTGAATTGCTTTCCAAGGTGTGGCTAGGTTAGCCCTCCTTGATGCACCAACATCCCAACCACTCTCTGAACATCCATGAATACTCTTCACTACTTTGTGCCAGTCTATCCCGCTCCAAAGGCCATCTCCACAACCACTTCCCTAACAGAGCTGAGTTCTTTTTAAGCACATTCCCGAGCCCTAATCCTCCCTCCTCTTTGCTTCTACTCACAACCCCCCACTTAATTAAATGGTCTTTTTTACCTTCTCCCGATTCCCACAGAAAATCTCTCATCAATTTTTCCAACTTCTTCGCTTCCCTAGACGGTATCCTAAAGACAAAGAGATAATAGGTAGGTAGATTCATGAGGGTAGCTTTTATCAAAGTGATCCTCCCTCCCAATGAGATGTTATTTTTCTTCCACACAGCTAGTCTCTTTTCTAACTTCTCCAAGACTAGGGTCCAGAACCTACTCTCCCTAGGGTTTGCTCCCAACGGAAGCCCTAAGTAAGACAAAGGCCAGGAGGAAATGGAGTACTCAAGACAGCCTGCAATTGCCTCAACCTCCTCAAAAACTAAATTTACTCCGAATATGCAACTTTTTCCTAGATTGATTTTCAAATTAGAGACTCCTTCAAAAACTGTAATCAATTCTTTCAAATTTTCCACCTTCTCACCGAAACCTCCCTCACGGAAGATCATCAAGTCATCTGCAAATTGAAGGTGAGTGATTGGAATTCGGTTTGTGCCTACTCTCCAACCCCTTATCACATTTTCCCTATCAGCCCTAGTGATAATTCGACTAAACACATCAGCTACCAAGGTAAAGAGGAAGGGTGAAGGTGGGTCACCTTGTCTGATTCCCCTACTAGCTGGAAAAAAAATCCCTCACCACCCCGTTTACTAGGATGGAATAGTGACAAGAGCTAACACAACCAGTCATCCAACTACATCATCTTTCCCCAAACCCACACTTCCTCAAAACTTCTTTTAGGAACTGGCAGTCCACCAAATCATAGGCTTTCTCTAGATCAAGCTTACAAACAAAGCCTCTCTGCTTGGACCTCTTCATCTCTTCCGCACAGTCATTGGCAATCAGAATCTGATCAATTATCTGACACCCTTGGATGAAAGCCCCTTGAGCCTGACTAATAATGGAGGGGAGGATTGCTTTAATCCTTAAAGACAAGACCTTGGCCAGGGTTTTATAAATACTAGTCACCAAACTAATTGGCCTAAAATCTTTAGGATGGAGAGCATCAACTTTCTTTGGAACTAGGGCCAAGAATGTGGAATTAATGCCTCAACTGACTATATGCTTCTCTGCGAACTCATTAAAAACCTCACAAAGATCATCTTTTTATCACCTCCCAACAATCCTGGTAAAAAGCCATTGTAAAACCATCTGGTCCTGGAGCTTTGGACCTGCCCATCACAAACACTGCCTTCCTAATCTCTTCTTCCTTAAAGTTTCTTTCCAACCACCTAACCTGATCTTCTTCCAACCTTGACCAATCAATCCCTTCGATTTCCCTCCTCTCTTCCAAGGGTCTTCTGAAGTAGTTCCAAAATGAGGGTGCCAAAATGGTGGAACGTGGAAGTGTTTTCGGGAGATGAGAAAGTTTAGGTTCCAAAATGAGGGTAATTTGATTTCTCAGTTAAGCTTGGCTCTGAAAGTTTCATTTGGTTTAAATGTTTAATAAGGTTTTTGTTGTCCAGGGTATTTCTTTTGAATTGGGTAGGTTGATAACATAGTCTACAGGATGAACAATGTGGTGAAGCAATGACTTGTTGATTAGGCCTCTCTAGTTGTTGTGATGACTACTCAATGCTTGGGTGCTGGTTGGTCAATAAAAATTGGTATGGTCTAAAGAACGAGCAACTTTGATTATTTGATGTTCCTTTTGTTTGTGGTAACTCCATAACAATACACCATTGATTGCAGAATCACTTAAAAAAAACTTCTCTACTGTTTTCTTCTATTACCATCATCCAATTATGTTCTGTCACAAATATTTAAAGCAAAAGCATGGATATAAGAAAATGCAGAGATATTCTGTATTATTTCAAATAATGAGAAATAGTGAGAGATACAAACAAACAAATGAAGGTTTAAAATGACTGTGGTTGATTTTTTTTTTGATCAGTAACAAAATGCTTTATTAAATAATAAAATTTGTGAAACTTTAAGTACAAGAAAAGGGAGGTAACCATCTTAACTCGCCCACAACAGGGAACAAAAAAGAAAGCTAAAAATTAGCCCGAAACATTGATTCCTTAAGCGCCCCTTGCTTGGCTAACCCATCAGCCATTGAGTTAGCGCTTCTCTTCACCCAACTGTACTTCACCTCAATATCCCTACTCAGCCATTTAAATTTTTTCTTTTCATTTCTGTAGCTCCACAAACCATTGCTGTCTTCCTTCAGCCACCTAATCACCACCTCCGAGTCCCCTTCAATGACCAGGCATCGTATGTTTAATTCTCTTGCTCTTTGGATTCCTTCCAGAACTGCTAGAATCTCAGCCCTAAGAGAGTCACCTTCTCCAATTGGGCCTGAGAAAATAGCAATAATAATCCCAGCCTCATTCCTGAAAACTCCCCTAATCCCCGAAGGCCCAGGATTCCTTAAGCTACTACCATCAAAATTCAGTTTTATGAATCCTGAAGGAGGGGGGGGGGACCAAGAAGGTCTAGAGGTTGATTAGACTGACTGGTCATCGTTTTAGATAATGCTTAGTCATCCTAGGCTACTGCATCATGAATATCGACTGACTAGTTAATGATGTCAGTTTGGGCCTCAACCAACAAATTGGTACTAGTGAAGCACTGATGGTCTATGACATAAAAGGTCTTGTTTTGGGGATTGTTCTGGTCTGAATAGGCATTTTCTAAAAGCTGATGTGGCTTAACTGAATAATTTATTTCTTTGACCTTAATGGATGAAATAGTCAAATAATAAAATATTTGAGGGTATATTCATTAAGGAACTTGCAACGCCCTAGCTTTTTCACTAAAGACAAAGCAATAAGTCATTTGATTCAGTCAATTCAGCTGCTGTCAAATGGCCTATGGTGTGATGTTGTTAGGGAGTGTATGTGGTAATTGTTTTTTTACTCTTGGTGCATTCTTATCAGCTGTAGTTGTTTCACTTTTTTTCTTTTTAATGAATTTCTCTTTTATTACAAAAAATCTATACTATGAAGTTGCAATTCATTGGCACATCTCCAATAAGTAATATCTTATTTTGTATTATTAAATATTATAGTTTTTGATATTATTAATAAATCTCAGAAAACTATTTAAGCATAACAACTTAATTTAGTTAAATTGCAATTTACAATGGACAAGTTAAACTCACTGCCTTTGCTTAATTGCCATGTGGCCATTACTGTTTTTTTCATTGTTTTCCTTCAATTTAGTGTGTAAAGTCAATAGGAAAAGTATATATTTTTAATTGTTAATGATGTTCGTTTTAGATATTTTTTCAACTAGTCTACAATTGGTTGCAAGCTGCTATTTAGGATGAGTCTCCAACAAGTTGTACAACCCAGGCCTTCTGCCAATGGATTTGGTCGTCGCCGTACTGAAAGAGAGACAGGACCTCGGCTGGAAAGCAGGTTGCAGTCTGGAAAGTCAAACCCCAGCGGTTTTACCAATGCAGGTGATGACTTCTTACCGAATTATGTTATTTATTGTATGTTGACATTTGCTCCTAAAACCTCCTTCTTGCAGGGGTAATCAATGGCAGCAAAGTTGGAGGATATGAAAGTCCTTCACGTGACCGACTTATTTATTTGACAACATGTCTTATTGGACAACGTGTGGAGGTCCAGGTGAAAAATGGATCTATATTTTCTGGAATATTTCATGCAACAAGTGCTGAAAAAGATTTTGGTACGCCTCAGTGCTTTTAATATGTTTCTACTTACTCTTTTTTCTGTTGGAATCCAAATGGATTTATGAGCTTGTAGATTGTGTTTCAACTTTGCTTGAAAATGAAATATTGCTTTACCACAAATCAACAATTTTTTTTGATCAATACCACAAATCAACAATTTGCATCCTTAATATTCAATTGCATGTCATTTGCAGGAATTATACTGAAAATGGCTAGGTTAACCAAGGATGGTTCTTTTAGAGGACAGAGGTCTGTATCTGATTCTACTACTAGCAAGGCTCCTTCAAAGACTTTGATCATACCTGCAAAAGAACTTGTACAAGTTATATCAAAGGTTCAACTGCATTTTCTCAATGGTTTTTGTTGTTTCATCTCATTTTGAGATTCTTTTTGTTTATTGGACCAGATGTCTAGATTTTATGGTTTTTCTTGTATAATGCTTTCTGATCTCATTCTGTATCCATTGTGCCAGGATGTGCCATTGACTGGGGATGGTTTGGCAAATGGGCTTCAACGTGATATTCGTCAGGATATTATGATAGACTCCGTGATATCACAGTCTCATGTTGTTGAGGTAGAGAGGGAGCTGCATCGTTGGACTCCTGACGAAGATGATCCACAATGTCCTGAATTGGAAAATATATTTGATGGCCCCTGGAATAGGTTGTTATAGAAGCATCTTGAAATTTTATTACACTAATAGCTAAATACTGCTTGTGGTTTCATTGCCATCTTTTTATTATGTATGTTGGGCTGATATAACAATTGGAACTTTATTAGCCATACTGTTTTTAGTTCTTGTTTCACAAAGGGATTGACAATCAAATTCTGTTTGGCATAAAATGTTTAATCTCGAGCAGTTCTGTACTATGATTTTTTTCTATCTGTTTCTCCCATTAGGTATTAGTTAATGCTTTCATCTGGTAATTTCTATTACTATTTGTTTAATTTCTGGTATTTAATTATTTTTAGAATTTCAGGATTAGAATTTCTGGTATTTAATTATTCTTTATATGTTGACAATTCCCTTTCATTGATTCCTACTCATGTTTAAGTGTTGCAGCAAAGTGATTATGGTATGTTTCTTTGCAGTAAATAACTTCCTTTTGGTTATTGAGTGGTTCAATACAAGTGATGTTTGCATTTTTCTTGTTTTCTATCTCAAATATTCTAATTGTACCTATTTTCATTTAACCTGTTTATATTGATTGAATGTGTTTCTTATTTCTTAACTAGGAGTTGGGATCAGTTTGAAACTAATGAAGCATTATTTGGGGTAAAGAGCACCTTTGACGAGGAACTTTATACAACAAAACTTGAGAGAGGTCCTCAAATGAGAGAATTGGAAAGGGAAGCTTCAAGAATAGCAAGAGAAATTGAGGGCGATGAAACTCATGATCTTCATTTAGCAGAGGTGATCCTTTGCTGTCATGTTCATGCTTTCCTCTGGTCTGATGTTCTTTCTTGTTGTTTATCTGTTTCAAGTTATGACATGTTTGTTGATCCATTCAACAGGAAAGAGGTCTTCACTTGCATGATGACTTTGACATTGATGAGGAGACCAGATTCTCATCAGTTTTTAGGGGTGTTGATGATAGTGGATATGAAGAAAATGAAGACTCAACAATAGATTCACAAAATGCTGAAACATTTGGAGATTCCTCAGGGTCTGTAATTATTAGGTCCTTTTCTGATGTGGCAAGGGGAAAGAACAATGATGGAGCTCAAGCATCATCAAGTTCTTCATCATTGGTATCTATTTGTAATTAATTGATAGTACAATAGGGTGTGTATTTAGCAGGTCCTTTTGGCCATTTCCTTCTATGAAATGATAAATTAATTGAGTAGTACATAGGGCTGCAAATGGTATCTGATTGAATTTGAATTTGAATTCAATCCCATTGAATCAAATATGCATCTGCCCCTATCTGATCCAATAAAATCTGATTTGACTGCTCATGTATACTTAAGATTTATATTTTATCTATTAGTAAAGCTGGTTTGAATGTTGTGGTTTTGCTAAATAGGCATAGCTTTGAGTTTCATAAAGTAATTTTCAATTCATTTTGTTCACAAAATACAATATCAATGTCATTTTTAGTTCATTTTATTAATAATATATAATATTTTGATCAATTTTCAGTTTAATTTACTTGTACTAGTCATCATCTGATTGTAATCCGGATTCAATTCAAATCCTATATAAATCTGAGTGTAAAACATAAAAACCTCCCTTGAGGTTTCTGACAATCATTAAAAACCTCCCCTAAGGTTTTACTTTCACAAAAACCTCCCCTGAGTATTGAAAAAACCTGCAGCTACCTCCATTTTTGTTATTGTCCTGGGCTGAAAATGTTGGCCTAATGCATTAGTTTTCAAAAATACCCATTTTACCCTTATATCTGTTGATTCAGATGGAAATTTATTAATTACCTCCAAAAGAACGTTTCATTTTTAATTAAAAAAATACCTAAGTCAAATTAAAAAGAATAAAGTAATTTACTCTATAAAAATGTTAGATCTAGTGAAGTCTAGAAGGGCAAATTTGGCATTTTGAATTATATTGAAAGATGCCTAATAAGTTGTAAAGGTATCATAACTCTGAAGTCTCCATTACTGGGACAAAGATGAAAGGGAGGTAACTGCAAGTTTTTGTAAAACTACAAGGGAGGTCTTTGTTAAAGTGAAGCCCCAGGAGAGGTTTTTATATTCTACCCTTAATCTAATGGTTAAGATCCATTTCAAATTCAAATATAACTGAATCAAATTTAGATTTATTTAGTACTAATATCCAATTCGATTCGATCTGTTTGCAGCTGCAGTAGTACAGTGTTATGTAATTGGGTTTGCTGGTCATGTAATCCTGAACAGTACAGAATCGTCTTTTAATAATGAGCAATGGCATGATAGAAAAACATTTTAAGTTGGTAACTCAACATGCATTATCCTTAGCTTGAATGTCCTGATATTAAAATGACAGACACCTGAGAAGATATTATCTTGATGTAAATGTTTATAGCATATTTATTTATTGAAAAGAATCTTGTCTGATCTTGTATGATTTGAGTTCAATGTAATACTCATCAGAAGTCATAACTCAAAAATGTATTTGTACAATAATTCTGTTTAAACTGCATCTACTAGTATTATTTTTGAACCAAGAACTGATTATTGGCAATTGTTTTTGTAAAAGGGTTCTCATTTGTTCTGCACATAAGAAGACACTGGTTTTCTTAGTACTTTTGTTCACTTGTGTTATAACCATATTCGAGGAAGATACTCACTGGTTTTGTACCTGGGATTTATGTGCCCCCTCTTGTTGGCTTGTTGCTTCCTCTTTGTTGTAGCTTATCTAGTGTGTAGTATGAACTGTGAACTGCAAAATTTCCATCCTTTGTAGCTAATACTTTGTTTTCCTTCTATTATTCGTACCATGCAGGATGAAGCCTTATCTTCTCAGTTAAATGCTGGTAGGGATTTATGCCGGTCAAGTTCCAGTGACCATGCTAGACAATTGTCTTCAGATTCTGTTTCGAAAAGTCTCACAGCTTTAGATGGAGAGAGCAGGTTTCTGGTTATTATTGTTAACTATGTATTTTGTTTAAATACTATCCTTCCTAGATTGGGAATTATCTGCTTGTAACATAAAAAATTAACAAAAAAACCCAAGAAGCTGAAATTTTACACCTGAAATTTCAGAATGGATGAGAACCAGTTAAGAGAACAGAATGGAGGAAAGAATTGTTCGAAGGAGTTTGTGGTACGAAAAAATATCAGTTATATTTTGACTGCCATTACAGAGTTCTATTGGTTTTGATGCTTTTGTATACTTCCTAACATCCATATTATTTTATTTTTCTTTTTGATGCTTAATGCAGGGTTCTGATGAGGTTCATATTTCAAAACTAGAGGGTAAGTAATGTTGAAATATATTCATAAAAAAGTAGTGCTGAAATATATTTATGATTGGGTTACATGATCAGGTGTATTCTTTTTAGTTTTGATAGTGTTGTAAAACCACAAATAGCAAAAGGGGCCACATGCCTAAGAGTTTTATTTATTTATTTATTTTTTCTCCACCCAAAACACAGTGCTCCTTTTATTTTCTTTTCTAATCTAATCTAATTACTTTCTGCTGTTGTTATTTGGTGGTGAATGGTGATGAAATCTTCTTAGAAAATCAAAGATGGCATCAAGTAGTACTAATTTTTGAGAAAAGGTAACAGAGATTTCATTAAAATAAAAGCCAGAGGTGATGGCCTATCTTCAAGGTGTACACTAAGTTGAGATAGAGGGAGACTCTAAACTGTTAATTGATTGGCTGCAATCAGGTAAGTTGGGAGCCTGGATTTATAAGGGAAATCCTCAATATAACAAGGGAGATTGGTGTGTGTTTCAAATGGACAATGAGATAAGCTAGTGGCTTAGCCGATACGTTGGCTAAACAAGGGACTGTGAGGGAGAGTATGTTCTGGGCAGTTTTGTAATAAAGATTACTGGGGATTCAATACCTGTTTTAGGGGTTGACAGTTGTACTTAATATTGTATTAATGAAGTTACCATTTCCGATAAAAAATCATTAAAATAAAGTGTACGTGAAAGGATGTACAACAGCAGAGAAAAGACACACAAAGATTGCAGTGGGAGATTTCTGTCACTAAACAAAGAGTCCCTGTGGACCCCAGATTTAGCTAAGCTATCAGCAATCACATTCAGCTCCCTAGGTATCCAAACCAGACTTGCTTTCATGTTATCAAGGATGATCATCTAGTACTAATTCCAAGCAAAATATGGATGTTAGGTTTGTCTCGTGTCTGAATTCCCAAATAACCACTATGTGGTTAAATAGATAAAACTATTTGGAGTGGCTTCCATCTGCTCACATGTATATCTAGGATTGTGGTAAGATTGGTTACATTTGATCAGAAGAGGAGCCAGACTCAAAAGGCAAAGCATGACCAGTGCGTGCGGGGGGTAGGACATTGCACATGACTATAGGTTGCTCCAAGTTGAACAAGCTTAAACACGGGGAGAAGTGATTATTACTTCTCTGCTCTCATATCTAGGAACTTATGTAATTTTTTTTTTGATAGATAAAATCATTTCTGTAAGTTGAGACAGTGGATTGAGAATATTCCAAGAATACTGAGATGCATTGAAAGTTAATGGACTGTAATAGTGTCTCTAAATTCTTGGTTGGTTTGAACCTTGAACAAAGAACATAACGTCACAAAGCAACATATCTTGAATTGTGATACTGTAACTTTATCTGAAGTGTATGCATTAATACAAGGTGAGGAAAGTAGGAGTTGTACCATTCTATAACCTTGTATTGTTGATCATTCTACACCAGGAACAATTATCTTATCAACTTGGAGGACAGAACAATGAGACTAGTTAATCAGTCTCAATTTAGGAAATAGTTGCCAACATTGATTGTGTACCAGTATGAATACCGCTGTGGGTTCACTCACCTAGAAAAATATTTGGGCATGCTATATGTGGCACTGTGTTTGGCAGTTATGTTATATGGAGCGAGTGTCAGGCAGTTAAGAAACATGTTGGAAAAATGAGTGGCAACAATGTGTATGCTTAAATGGATGTGGTAAAATTAGAATGGACAGGGTCAGAAATTAATCCATACGACGGAACCTAGGAGTAGCTTTCAATAGGTGATCAATGAGAGAGAGTAGACTGAGGTCGTTTGATCACATGCATAGAAGACCATCTACAGCATCGGTTAGAATAATTGATCTGTTACAAGTGGAAGAGGATAGAAGAGCTAGGGGCAGACCCAAAAGGACTTGGGTGGAAGTAATAAGAAATGACTTAAGTGCCCATAATTTAATGGTGATATGGCACTGAACAGAATTGAATGGAGATTCATGTAGCTGACCCCACATAGTTGGGACAAGGTATAGATGATTATGATGATATGTAGTATGCTGTTTACTTTGTTGGCACCATTTTTTGTAATGTTATAGCAGCTTCCTTTCTTCCTTTGTAATTTTGTCTTAGAAAATGAAGATGATTGAGATTCAGGTTTTTGACACTAAGAGTTGAAATAGGCCTTCTATATGCCATTTTAACATATATCTTCTTTACCAAAATAAAAAGTTGGGGTTTCTGAAAATTAATGAACTTGCTTTTAGATAAAAATATAGTTGGTTGAAAGAAAAATTTTCTTGTGATAGGATTTGGGTTCCAAAAATAACATTAGAGCCATTTCAAATGTGCCAATTAGAAGTTTCATATTCTGTCAAGATTTGTTTCAGGAAAGTTTCCCAAACCTCGATGTTGGGACTGGTAAGAAGGTATAAACTCACTAAAAATGCTGCTTTGGTTTGGAATGGCTAAGCTTAGTAACTTTCCTGAAACCAATCCTGACAAGTTATGAAAGTTCTAAACTGTCAAATTTGAAATGGCCTTGATATTATTTTAGTTATCAAAATTTTGGGAACTTCTATTACAAGTGGAATTCCCTTTCAGCTGGCTGTTTTTGTTGGAAAGCATTGTATTTTGGGACTGGTAAGATAATGAAAGTATAAACTCAGCACCAATGCTGACTGATTTAAAAAAAAAAAATCTCAGTTATCAATGCTGCTTTGGTTTATAGTGGCTGAAGCATAGGAATTTGACTCTTCTATCAAATGGTTTGGAGATTCTCAGTTGACCATGAAAAGCTAGACCCTGTATAATCAAGAGTATGCATGGGTTGCAGAATTGATCAATAGATCCATTCTTACCATTAATGGAAGTTAATTCATAGTTTCATACAATCCTTTTCTTTGTTTTATCAGGTTTGACCTTGTGTTGATCGAGAAAAGTTTTATTAATTTTTATGCTTGGGCAGTTCACCCAATAATGAAAACCTTCCAAGCAGAACCTTTCATTTTCCCATTTTTCCATTTGGTGCCATGCTGGCTGTTGTGGAACTTAGGTTTATTGTATCATGGAAGCCTAGATGTCATTTTAATGTCTTGCTGCCCCCAGGTTATTTCCAAAAACAAAACACTCACCAATTTGCATAGAACTGTAGATAATCTGTTTATAATTACTTGGTTTTTGAACTCAAAGCAATGGACTGAATAACTGTCCTTGTGTGTTTGTCTTCCACAAAATTGTTTTATATCTTTCCGGTTTCCCATTAATCTACTTCTTTGGTGATCTAATGTTGATGAATGGCTATTAGTTGGTTTGACTCTTCAAATTTCTTGGCATTATTAATTGATCCAATAAGATTTATTATTTGTTGCGCACTTGTACTGTACCATTTCATCAGCTATATCTGACATATTGAATCATTGTCTATTTTACCTATTGCATTGTCAAAGATGCACAGTTAATCATGTCAAAATGCCTTGTGTAGATGTACAATCATCTCTGAACATGAAGAAGGCTATTCATGATAAAGGGGGTTTATCTCCCAGTGCCACAGCATATTCTCCGACTCCATCATCTTGTGTTTCCTCAAAGGGGCAAGAATGTGAGGGTTCTTTTGGTGATTTGTCGGATTCTTCAGCCAAAGGACATGGGGCAACTCAAGCTGTAAATCCTCGAGGACAACCAGGTAGTTCTACCTCTTCCACTTCAGAATGTGTTGGTGGGGTATCCACTTCTGGTGGACCTGGTTTGTCTCCAAGCTCGTCTGTAGGATCATTATCTTCGGAGAAATCTACACTAAATCCTCATGCTAAGGTGATCTTTAACCCACCCATGGACCCTCATTTTATTCTCTGCTGCCTTGATTTGCTTTATATTGTCATTTCTTTGGCTTTATACCTCAAGAACTTTGTGATTTAGGAATTCAAGCTGAATCCTAATGCGAAGAGTTTCATCCCATCACAAACACCTTTAAGGCCTCCTTCTCCAGCATCTGATGGTTCTTATTACTTCCCTCCTAATGCTACTGCTATCCAACATATCCACGGTGTACCCATGGGCATTGGGGTGAGTTCATATTAGACCAATATTCTTTTTTCCCCTTTCTCCTTAAAATAGTTGCCGGTTCATTTCTATAACATAAAGTACTATATTCATTGGTGATTATAGGTTGCATTTTATTAGAATGTGATTAAGCTTTTGATATCCTTAATCCTACGTAAAGTAGCTTGTTTTTTTTTTTTTTTTTGTTTAGTTGGGTAATGAAGCTTGTTTGACATATTCTTTTATTCTAATTTTCATTTGCAATTATGAAATGCATAGTTAATAAGTTATTATTGTGGAGAGTTGGTGTAGGATAGGAAGGGGATGTCCTACAATTTCTTTCATGGTGGGCTAAAGAGGAGGTTTAAGTTTGTGTAGGATGAAGAAGAATGATCTTAGATTAACTTATAAGAAGAATCAGGTTGAGCATGACCGCTCTCAGACTTGAACCCGCATTCTCATGCTTCACAGCCTGGGAATTTAAAATTACACCAAGTAGTTTTGGGTTTCAGTGTTCTGTTTTGGAGATGGTATTCTTCAACCAATCCTTATATTTCTCCTTTCTTCTACCCTGTTCTTTCTCTTCTCCCTTCCATTTATATGCAACTTCTATTAAAAAACCACTACTGCTCTGAATCCCAAGGTGGTATTTCCATTTCCTCTTGGGACTGCACCTGCTATCATAAACCCATACTGAGCTAGTTCCTTTTTAATGGGATCTTATTTTTCTTTCTTATTATTAAATCCTAAACTTTGGGATCCAAGGCTCTCCTATTCCCTACACCTAAATCCTTTAGGGTCCATGAATAAGTTTACTTGTAGCTTTGGCTCTCACCACATAAGTTTACTTGAGTTTAGCATTATGGGGAGCAAATAACAACTGTTAACTTAATTAAATATGGTAAAGTGTGGGCTCCAGGCTCTTACCTCATCCAACACAATCTAACTTGGATGTGTAATGAGTGGGCCAAGATTGAAGTGAATATTGTGTGAAGCAAGGGTTCTAGTAAAAGCAAGAGCATTAAAAATAAAAATATTTAAGATTCAAGAGCAGCTCCAGAGTGTATGCCAGATGCATGTATCTGTGGCATGGTTTGTAATTTCTGTATCATCACCATGCAGAAATGGGGAAATTTTAGAGATATTACACTACTGTTGCTAATAATTTTGGAAAATAAAAAATTAAAGGAAAATTATTAAAAAGTTTGATTTTGTCAATGAGACTTAATGGATTATTAAAAGAAATATAATTGTACATTTATGACTAAACACACACATAATCAGTTTAGTAAATAAGAGATGTTTATTATCATGCCATTTTATTTTGTTGTTTTTGTTACTACTTGTGTTGATTAGTTTCAGATATGAGGGGAAAAAAGATTCTTGTCCTTTTTTTTTTATATCACACCTTAACAAAATGGCAAGATTTGGTCAATTTGCGCTGAACCATGGTATGTTGCCACCCACACACGTGCTTGCGGGGGTGGGGTGGAGGTGATATGCATGTCATTAACACAAGTCGGTCTAGTAAGGTGGCGCTTGATAAATCTGAAAATTTAGATCTGAAAAGTTAAAAAGATATTAAATGTGTCTGAAATCTGAAAAGAGGCATAGTTGCTTTTCTACTTTTTAGAGGATCTGAATCCATAAGTTTGTTTGTGTTTGATCAACCCTTTACTAATTAGTAATTAATAATTACTAATTAATAAATGAAACAACTAAAATTAAAAAAATAATTAATGATTATAAAAATATTAAAATAATTAATAATTAGTAGTTAATAAAAATAATTAATAATTAATAAATAACACAAGTAAATTTAATAAACAATAATTAATGTTTAATAAAAATATTAAAATAATTAATAAAATTAATTTATAATTAATAATTAGTAAAATCATTATTATTATTCACCGAACCACCACTGCTGCTTGTTGCAGCGGCGGTGGCGGTGGTGGGAAGACGGGAGGGAGAGAGAGGGAGAGAGAACGAGAGCGAGAGCGAGAGCAAAGACAGTGGCAGTGGCAGTGGCGGTGGGAAGACAGGAGAGAGAGAGAGAGAGAGAGGTCGAATGTTTAGGTTTTCTGGCTTTGGGGTATCAGGGGTAACTCAGGTCATTTACGAAAAATAGTAAGGATATTTTGGACATTGGGCCGGCTCTGAAACATGTCTGAGCGCGTTAAGAGCCGGCCCAAGGTCTATAATTTTCAGATCTGAAAATCAGTTTCAGACCCAGTTTAAGAGGTACAACCAAACAAGGTGTGAGGTCTGAAAAATAGCATTTTCAGATTCAGACCTCAAAAAAGTGCAATCAAATGGCACCTAAGTAACACGGTAACACCTGGTCAAGGGGATTATTATAAAAATTACTGATTTCATCAATAATTCCTTTAGGAATTTAAGATTTGAACTCAATTGTAAGATGGTAAGTGGGGGTTTGGTGGCTCTTGCCCACCTATAATTGGGATGCAAAGGATGATGTACATAATTCATTTTTTTGCACAAGGCTCCCACCAATGCAGGGTCTGGGGAGGGACAGATGTACGCAGCCTTACCTCTGCACATATGGGGAGGCTGTTCCCCAGATTTTGAACCCTGGTCACCCAGGTCACAATGGAGCAACCCAACCACTGTGCAAGGCCCACCCTCATAATTTGTTCTTTTACTAATTATCAATAAAGTTACTGTTACCATTCAAAAAACTAAAAAAGATAATTTATCACCTGAAGGAAAAAAAGAAAAAAAAAACAACAAAACCCCAATTCCAAACAACATAGTACAACACCCACCCCAAGAAACAAGACAGCAACCGTCCAAGAGAGAGAAAACAACTCCCAACCCAAAATCTTAAAACAATACCTACAATTTACAAAGAAACCATCCACTCACCCCTAGGACAAAGAGCTAAATGAACTCTACATGGAACCTTTACTCCACCTACAAGACCACACAACACTTAATTCACAGAATAAGCTTCTTCTTGTGTATTATTTTATTTTATTTTAAATCAGCAAGAAATCGTTAAAAATTTATTAAGTGATTTTAAAACTGGTTAATACAAAAGGATCTGTTCCAATCTCCACAAGTTACATGTGCTACAATAGTGCCCAAAACAACTGTTGCCTATATACCCCTTGTTTTACTAGGGTATCAGCCATCCCATTTGTAGTCCTTATCCAATTGAAAGTAATGTTCAGTCCCTGGGTAATTCTATCTATTTCCCTAAACTGATGCCTATAGATCCTTGGCAATGAACTGTTTATTCCTGGCCCAAGAAATGGTCAGCTTTGAATCTCCTGCTTCTTCTCGTGTATGTTCACCTAAACTTCTCAAATTAATCTTCCTAGCTTTCTTCACCTTCTTATTAGGTCCAAGTGTCCAACATCAAACAAACTCCCTTTCAACTTTTGAGATTTCAATAGCTCTTTAACTTTATTTTTACTTTTTTGACTTTTGAACCTTCTGACAGCATTAGGATCTCTCTCAATCCACACTTGCTAAATTCTCATCTCTCTCAACTAAACTTGAATTTTCCGCTTTAACACTTTTGCATGGCATCCTTTCATTGAACAAAGTTCCTTTTCATTTGCCCAAATTATGCATGGGCAAGAGCCATATCCCTCATATTTGAAGTCAAATCGTGTTCCTAAAACTGATATAATGCAGATTAATTTGTTTTCAAATCCATAAATCCATGACATCCTTTCATCTGTAATCCAAGTTCCATGAATTGGGGCACTAAGGTCAATACTTGAAATTGAGTTATGCACGGCATACTTGAAAAATGCTATCACTTTTTGTTATTGTCGATATGATTGTCCTCTTTTTCCAGCTCTTATTCTCTCTTTTGTTAAGATGCTTATTTTTTCACAATGTTTGCAGATTCCACCTTCATTTGGACACCAACCTGTTATTTATAACCCACAGGCTGCACCAATTCAATCACCTCAGGCATATATCCATCCAAGTGCACCTCTGGTATGGAAATTTTGTGCTATTTCAACTTCCTGCCAAGATCTTTGTTAGACATTTCTTATTACCTATCAGTTTGATATAAACATCAAAGTTGAAGAATATGATTGTGTGCATCATTTTCCTCCTTTTGGCAGTATGGACAGCAGATGATTCTTGGTCACCCTAGACAAGTTTTGTACATGCCAAGCTATCCCCCTGTAAGACCGCTTTCTTACCATAAGCATTAGTAATTTGTATGTCCTTTGTATGAATTGCACCCATGGATTGCTATTTTGGAAGGTCCAGGTATTCTCCTAGAATAAAAGTCTGTTGCTGTTCTTCAAGCTGACAGGTCTCCAATGGAATTTGCACCAATATGGTAAAACAGTGATTTAAAGGGCATGCCTCAGGCACACAGGCGAGGCACATTTTAGGGTATGCGCCTCGCCTAGGTCCTAGGCGCAGCCCTTTCAGATGGTGAGGCGTGCCTTTTAAATCGCTGATTTACGATATTGGTGCAAATTCCATTGGACCCCCTATTTGATAATGGTGTTCATTCGTTCATCCTACTAAAATATCTTCTTAAAAAGCAATTAAAATTATAAAATCTTTTTTTGTTGTGAGAACTAAGAATTTAAGACCCTAACATGGACTTGTTTGGGCTTGCCTTGAGGGGCATGGCACAAAGGTGGCACGTAGAATCAGGAATGTAATATGTTTTACATCACATTAACTGCCTGAAGTAATACAATTGAGGAAAAAAAGAGATTGTGGGTTTTACATGCTTGAAAATGCTTTATATGTTTGAATTTATTTTTAAATTCTCATTTGAATACGCTTTACATGTTATGTTTATGTATTTTAATTTTAGATAATAGGTTTTTTAAAACATTTATTTTAAATTTTTGGTTTATATTTTTATTAATATTATTGTTTATTATTTTTTGATTTTTTTGCATTTTTTGAAATTTCTAATTTTTTTTTTGCATTTTTTTTTGTATTATTGTGCCTTGCTTCAAAAAGGTGCGTGCCTCGCTAAATAACCCTGAACTAATATATTCTCCCCTTGAATCAATAATGTTTTGCGAAGACTTTGAGGTATAAACCTCAAAAAGATGTTACCAGTGTCTGACAAGGTGTAACTGTGAAAACATGCCTTTTTTGGTGCTAGTTACATGCCTCTTTCAAATGGAGTCCAGATATGGTCCTCATAGAGCACTCCTCACACCAACCTCACAACACTTCCCAGCCGCACATCTCCCATACTTTATGTTGTTTATAGAGAGATGTTCGCAATACACAGTGGGATAGGGCTGTGAGGTGTGCTCTGTGAGGATCAAATCCTGATTCTTTCAAATGAGAAGTCAGAGGTGTGACCTCGTGAGCATGTCACATGATTTGTTAAAATATGAGAATTGAACACAAATTTTGAAACCAAAATTTGTTTTACTTAATTCTCCAAATCCTGAAGGCTTATTGCAAACTTTTATTTTCTACATGATTGTTGTATAAATAATTGACATATCAAGTGTTTTTAAATGATTCAATATGTTTCATGTTATTCCAGTTGAACTGTACTCGGTGTTATAAATGTAGTATTTTAGTCTGTATGTTTAGAAATATCATCCAATCACACATTAGGATGGCCAATGCCTATAACTATTTTCTCTTGCTTCGATTTCATCAAAGTCAAGTTGTCTTGTTAGGACTGATAATTTCTCTTGTGATCATGACTCATGAGATTATTTTCAATCTCTTAGATTCTTAAAAAGAGTAAATAATTATGGTGGTATAAAACACATAAATCATAAAACCAAGGCTTCATATTAAGGTTATGTTTGGCATCGATGATGATTTCTCCTTGCTGATTATCCAGAAAGCGGTGATTTCTGGAATAGTGATTTTTGAAAAATCATCAAAAATTGTTGTTTGTTATCATTTATGCCATGTAAGCTGATTTTTCAGAAATTGGCTGAGTCTGTTTGTTACTGATTTTCAAGGGCTGATTAATTTTGTATTAGAATTATTATTCAAAATCAGGAAATCAGAATCAGTTAAAAATCAGGAAATGAGTTAAAAATCGTTGGATGCCATGTCATCCTCAAAAAATTGGAATCAGTTAAAAAAAATCAGGAAATCACCAGAAAAAGTGATCCCTGAAAAGGGCTGATTTCAATAATCGATTTTTAGCTTATTTCCCAGAAATCGGCATATTCAGCCAACCAGAAAAAAGTCACTGATTCTTCAAATTCTGATGTGGATCCTACGTGGTGCTGATTTCTGGGAAATCATCATCTATGCCAAACATCAGCTAAAGAAAAAATAAATTATATTTTCATCTGACAGCAAGATGATCAATTATCATGGCACTAGATAGAGTGGAATGTTCAAAAAATGTGCATTTTTGTCTATTTGCATCTTGTTTTATCAGAATTGTTTTTGACATTAAAAAATCTTAATTTCATAATATTTTGACATGGTTCCTATATTTAGTAGCTAGCATTTCCACCAGAATGAGCAGTTATTTGTGATCATTGAATTAAATTCAAGAGTATTTATGCAACAGAGGTTTGAACAGGATACTCGGCTGAAGCCATAAACTGTATATTAGTATTCTAATAGAGGATCGAAACGCCCCTTTGAATGCTTACCTGTCATTTCTGGATTTTTGACCACTTGATTTGCAATGTAATTTGAGTTTTGATGCATGTGTTTCCATTTAGCTTTAGCCTTTTGCAACATACATTCTCCAACACTGACAATTCATTTTATATAGTGTATTTTGGCAAGGCTTAAGCCTCTAGGCAAGTGATGCTTCATTTGATGTTCGATTCATGTTAATGAACATCTAGTTTTCATCAATGATGCTTGTCGATGCTAGTTTATCTGCTTTTGTTTTATTTTATCTGAAATTTGTTGGATGAGATGTTTTACTTATCTAGCTTGTGGTTGAACAATCTTGGAAATCCCTCTTCGGTGGTTTGTTCTGTACAGGAAATGCCATACAAAGGAAGAGATTTCTAACCCCCCAGCTAGCCAAACCCAGTGGCTGTAAGGTGCTTGTAAATGACCCTTCTCAGAGATGATTTGTCGATTTTTAGAGGAGAAATCCAGTGCTCGGTTGAAGATCAATAATTCTGCGTCACCGTTTGGAGCCATTGGAACATTAGTTGCTTTGTCTACCAGTTTCCTTTTGTATTTGTAAAATTTGGAAGCTCTATACCGGTCTTCCCTACTCTGACGTAATGCTTGTTTGCTCTCAGATGCAACTTCTCACTTTTTTGATTTACCTCCTGATGAAAGTAATCTGGAAGCAACCCGGGAGCAACAAAAGATGCACCGGTCTTATGGCAAAAATTTATGCCGAGTGATTGGGTGTGTACAGGATGCTTTAAGTGACATGTGTCCATGATTTAGGACGAAACTGTTTCTTGTGGATTGGGAATATTGTTAATCTGGAGGTTGGGTTGGGAAATTGTTACGCAAACACAACAGGGGCAGCCCTTCCTCAAATCCCTAAACTAGGAATGGCACCAAGGCGGGACAGGGATGGGGAGCCTTATCCTGTCCCTGTGAAAATCCACATCCCTGTTCCCGACCTCGTCACCCCTAATGGTGATAAGGTTACTCCCATTTCTTGTGAGCTTTTATAATGTTAATCATTTTGTTTTTATTTTTATTTTATTTAAAGAATAAAAATAAAATAATTAAAATTTACAATCCATTTAAACATTTTTAAAAATATTAATATATGGACATATGCATACATATATACATATATTTTTAGTGGGATCGGGTCCCAATGGGATGGGGAGTGCTCTTTTCGTTCTTACCCTGTCTCTGCCTCCTATTCCCCCTTCCCCCCAGTGGGGGGGGGGGAAATTATCCCCATTTCCGTCCCATTTGGGGCGGATTCTCACCTATGGGAATTGGAAAAATGGGGAAAAATTGTCATCCCTACCTTAAATCCCCTTAACCCAGGTTAAGTCATGATTTGATCTGTACCTCAACCATCAAGAGACTTTTACCAGCATGTTAGCTGGGACCTTCTCTCATTTTGTTTTGTTGTGTCGTTGCAAATTATGTTTGTCAAATTAAACTAGGGTCGCAAATGATATCCATTTGTTCAAATTTGAATTTATTCGATGAACTGATGAAGGTGATTTGATTTTTCATCCAGCTTTAGGCATTTAGTTTTATGCTATATTTAACATAAAATATAGACTTCCACACTCTCTCGGATTCAAAAATCCGGAGACATGGACGATATAATGGGTAAGTTAGTAGAGAACTGAATTACTGAAATACCATTCCCCAAACAGCAATACAGGGTTGTGTATTGCAGTAAAATTTCATTTGACCTACAATAAATGCATGAGATTGCAAATGAGAAGAATACAAATTATGGTCGGATTTCACTTTATGTTGCTTTAGGCTTTATTTCACTCGAAAAGCCAACACTTGCACTCAAAATCATTTGGATTCTCGTACAAAATTGCACTGCAAACAAGCCAGGCCTGTTGCCCAGAGAGAAAATTCCAGTACTCTCACTCCCATTAAGAAGGTAGCAGCCAGCGGCATAGATCATGATTTGGGTTCTATTGGCGTTCATTGCATTTTGCGGGGGTTACGTAATTGTTAACAAACCCTACTTTCACAAAATGTCTGAATAACGCGTTTTTTTCTTTGCTTTCCATTGGTATTGCGAAACAAAAATTCCTCGTAGAGTTATCATCATCATCATCTTGTTGGGTGAGCTCTGCAAACAAGTGCGCCTAAAGTCTTTTTTATCGATTATCATCATCATCATCAACTCAATTATCGATTATCCACTACCACCGCTCTAGCCTAAAGTCTTTTTTAACGAGTGCGCCTCTTGTTGTCCAGTGCAACAGCCAACAGAGCAGAGCTGTACTTCTGCACAAGAAGCACGAGCATGGAGGAGCTCCATGCACACTCATTGCACCTTGAGCATGCAGTACCACTTCACTGCGGTTTTTGATGGTTCACATACAAATCTCCCCCTCCTCCCCCATATTATACGTATAAATCTCCGCCACCAACACCCATACACAAATACAAGCCATCTCCGCCTCCGCCACCACCTGTACACAGCTACATGTCACCACCACCTCCTCATCACGTCTGCAACAATATCTCATCACCACCTCCGCCTCCGCCTGTGCATAAGTCTAAATCTCCTCACCCACCGTCAAAGCACCCCCCACAAACACAAATGGGCTCCTTAGTCCTTACCCGTATGTCACCTGCAAGTCGCCCCCAGCGCCGCCGTTGCTGCATCATCCTTCCCCAGACTATCACTACAGTTCTCCGCCTCCTCCAATGCCATAATAACGACTGGAATACAGAACAAGGAGCAAACTACATGGACGGGAGGCAGATTGAATGGGAGGGAATGTTTATTTATTAGATTGTGGAATAGCTTAATATAATTTCTGATCAGACATTAATCTCGTCTCAGCAAGATCTAAACTTTGTATTAGTTATGACGATTAAAATTCTACGCGTCTTATGCTATCTATCTCTGATTATCATAAAGATGATTTATTAATTTATTCTTTCTTGGTAGAAAACAGATGCCATTGAACCAAAGGATCAGAGCAGAACAAACCACACCCAACTACACCAACCAACACCACAAGAACCAGAACAAACAGAACACACACCCCTACACGCTGTCATCTTCTAAACAGCAAACCAACCAAAATGGAGGATCAGATAAGATCTCAGCAGTCCCCAAGAAACCTTTCGTGAGCCACCACCATGTATTCCAGGTTTTTGAACAGAGAAGAACTTCACCTCAACTCCAATGACCAAGCACAAGTGCTGAAGATATCTTTCACTGGGAAACTCGGTCAGGTTCTTCCCTCCAGATATGCAGAGTTCGTTAATTTACAGGACTTTGAAATGCATTCAAATTTTAATAATATCTGGTCGAACAGTCAAAATGACAAACGCATTATTCAAAGTTCGGACGTTTATTGGTGTTTGTGGATTTCTTACCGTCTGATGATCTTTTGGCAAGTCCTAGGTTAATTAAAGGGAAACTAGATCTATAAATCGGACGGTCGTGATTAGGCAGAAATTCGATTAGATTTTGGATTTCATTCAAAAACTCCGCAGATTTTCCGGGATGCAACGGCACTAACCGCCTACTTCTTGGTTTTTCAAGTGCAATCGTAATTCGGAGCTGGAGGGAGCCACCGGCGGCAGCAGCAATGGCGGTGGCAGCTCGAAATCTTAATAGTAGTTATAATATTGTTCCCCTGGTAGAGTCCATCTCCTCCGTCCTTCATTCTCTCAACCTTCAAAACCCAAACCCCTCAAATCTCGCTTCTTCTCCTCTCGACCAATTCACAACATACTTGAATCCCAATTTGGTGATCCAAGTTGTCAAATCCCAAACCAATCCTCACAACGCTCTCTTCTTCTTCCGCTGGGCCTCAAATCCTAACCCTAACCCTAACAACTACTCCCACACTCAGCGCTGCTACTCCGCCATGGTCGACCTTCTCATCTCCCACAGCATGTTTTCTACAGCTTTAGCTCTTCTTGAATCATCAAATAAACTCTCCGATTCCATGGTTGCCAAGTTCATCAAGGCTTATGGAGACCGTGGCGACATCAGAGGTGCGATCCACTGGCTTCACCGCGCCAAGATGATCGAATCAGGTCGGTGCTTGTACTCGTACAATGCCATTTTAGGGGTCATGGTAAGAGCGAATCGCATAGATCTAGCTAGAGCTTTCTTCGATCAGATTCTGAAGGAGGACATAGTGAAACCTGATGTCTCGACTTACACGACGATGATTCGGGGTTTCTGCAAGTTGGGTATGATTAACAATGCAAAAAAGGTGTTCGATGGAATGCTCTGTAAGCCCAATTTGATTACGTACAATACCATTATCTCCGGATTCTGTAAGAAAGGGCTCCTGGAAAATGCACGAGAGATTTTTGATCTTATGATAGCTGGCAAGGATTGTATTCCCGATGCGGTTACATTCACGACTTTGATCGACGGATACTGTAAAAGGGGCGAGTTGGGTGAGGCAAAACAATGCATGGATGAGATGGTGAGACGGAACTGCGAGCCAAATGTCATCACATACAATTCACTGATCAATGGTTTATGTTTGAGCGGAAAGATCGACGAGGCAAAGATGATGATGACAAAGATGAGATTAAATGGTGTCAAGGACGACATTGCAACCCATACAAGTCTGTTGAAGGGGTATTGCATAGCAGGGAAATCCGATGATGCTGTCAAACATCTCAAGGAGATGATCAGTCTTGGGGTGAAACCTGATGTTAAATCGTATGGAGTGGTTATTAACGAATACTGCAAAATGGGGCAATTAGCTGATGCCATGGCACTTCTAGATGAGATGAAGGCGAGAGGGGTCAATCCAAGTGTCTCCACTTTCAATGCACTTCTCAGAGCGCTGTGTGATTCTGGGGAGCTCGACCTGGCAATTGATGTTTTAAAGCAAATGCCTTGGAGGGGTTGCTCTCCCAACTTCTTATCTTATTACACAGTGATCTGTAGCCTATGTCGGCTTGGAGATAGGATGCGAGAAGTTGAAGACCTTGTTGCTGGCATGCTTCAAAGAGGCCATCACCTTGATGCCTCTATGTATAGTGACATGGTTGAGGGTTACTGTGAGGATGGCGATGTTGAGATGGCGATGGGTATGTTCTGTGAGATGATGGAGAAGGGCTTTGTGATCAATCTTCAGAGCTTTTCTGTGTTTGTGAAGGAGTTGAATGGGAAGGGGAAGGTATCTGAAGCTGAGAAGCTCTTTCAGGATATGTGTAGGAGATGCCCTGTACTGGATATGGCTAGTTACAGAAGAATATTGGATGAGCATCAAAGCAAGCCATGGGCAGGTGGAGGCTAGTCAATAGGTTGGCACCATGGTGTACTAGCTAGAACTTTGCTTGGATGTAAGGAAGTCGGTTGGGAAGGGCATAAACTCCATCAATGTGGTTTAGTTCAGTGACTGGATCAAAATGGATCTCTTGATTTTTTTTTGTCACTTGGTTGGTTGAGTTGCAAAACCAAACGCAGTAAAAGAAAAACCAAGCAAATTCCCAAGAGTCAATTTGATCAGTTTTGGCTTTACTGGTAATGTGTACTCAGTGTTTAAAGAAAACCATAGACAGCTACCAGATTTTGAAATAAATTATTACAATTTGCTAACTTCATACCTCAGTAGACGGTAGGTAAGCCAGTACTCTTTTTCACAGATTGGGTAGCTCTCCTCTGGGAAACTGAAAGGGTGATGAACATGATCAGCAGCATTTATTGTCAACGCAAGCCTAAGATAAAAGAAAAGGTCAATTCGAGCCAGCTTAGCCCAAGCTCCCAGTGCCAACTCGGGGCCACAGCTGCTTTAGTCCTCCCTTTCGGCCATTCATATCCTAAATTCTGTTGAAAATTACTGCAAACTGTGGTCAGATTACACTGGAGGTGAATTGAAGCCTAGGGTAATGTGTGTGAGTAAAAAGCAAATACATTGCTTAATTCTTAAGAGATGAGCTTAGTAAAAATTCGAGATGCATTGATGATTGTATTGGAAGTATCTGAAAGCCTGGATTTTTCTTAGATTACCTCTGTATTTGTGGTCATTGATTCAAATCAAACATGCAAGTGGAGGGACACAAAAAACAGAAAGAATAAATGAAGGGAAGATTGGATTAGAAAATATAAGTTTTATGAGTCGAATGTATCATCAGCACAGAAGCTTGGTTTGGGCTTCTCATTTCTCTTGGGTTTTAAATTGATATTTTATTGTGTATCGCTGATTTATTTTGTTGAGTTAATGTTTGAAAGGTTCCTCATTAAAGCAAGTATTAAAGGCTTCCAATTTGTCGGAAAATGGGATTGTGCTGAAGTCTTCCCTCTGTTTTCTTTTTTTTTTTTTTGGGAAATGAAAGATTGAGAACTAACCTAGAGATTCACTTGCCAGTTGCCACTTTTCCCCATATATCCACATGCAGCAACCAGGACCCCCGAGTGATTCCGTCGTTACCCCCATTCATTTTGCAAAAATATTTAGATTTAATTCAAACGGCAAACTCTGTTTTACAACAAGGAAAAATCAAAAGCATGGAGTAAATTATGGATTTCACACAGGAACCCATTGCTTTGATCAGTTCATCCATTTGATCTCCTAGATTTATTCTGGGTTCCGTTGCATCACTTCATATGATTTAAAAAATAAAAATTATAAAATGGAAGGTCCATAAAAATCAACACGAATCAATTCTAAAATTCCATTGCACTGATGGATTTTTTTCTTTTTTTCTTTTTGGTCTCAACTGTTCATAAAAGCCCGAGTGAGTTCCTGGCATCTATGCTGTTTTTTGAGAAAGAATCAATGATGTCTTAAAAATTGGAAAAGTATGGTATGGAGCAACATTCAATGTTTTTTTAGAAAATTGTGTATTGCCATCAGTGGTGCAAAGATGTGACATTTTAGACAAAACCAGTTTATATGACAGCACCAGTTCCTATAAAAAAATAAACACTATTTTCTGAAAAATAATATTTACAACTTCACGTGCCCAACATCAATTTTATGAAAATGTGGTGTGATATTTCCAACACCAATGCCAAACACCTAGTTAGATTCTCAACATTCTTTCTTATGACCATCGAGAATCTACGTTGCCCTTATTCAACCAACAGCACCGGCTACCTCTAACTTCATCGTTCATTCTTACTCACTTGTCATGATTTCTTCATTTTTCTTTGGGAATTGGGACCAGTCACCAGATTTCAATCCATTCATAAACAGTCAAGCCTATCATCGTGATGCCTATGCAGTCTCCATTTTCTTTTTTCGGTTGGATGAATTGGATTCAAATACGACTTGGTACATTCGACGAACAATGAAAGGGCATATGTTGTTAATTAATTTATCAGACAGATGGTTCCAGTCCAAGCATAAAGCAGTTCTAGATTTTAGCAATACAATCTCATTTATTCACCCTATCCTCCCGTCCTCCCGATGTGTGTTGTGTGATGGGTCAATGTGCAAACATGCCCCCATGTAAACCCATAAAGATATAGTTGGCTAGTTTAGTAACTCCACCCCACCCACTCCCAAATAGTAATTGATGAAGGGAAATTTGGCCCAACCTCGCAATCGCCCGACACGTGGCAAAGGCAAGCAGTTTGGGACAGTAGAGCACCCAAAGCGAACATCGGAAGCAAGTCCAAACTCACTACCGAGCCCGAACTTCAGACCGCTGTACTTAGTCCGAGTTCCTTGTTAAGAGCGAACTCCCTGTTAAAGGTCCGAGCTCCCTAAGTCCTAGCTCGGTACTAGGAGCCCGAGCTCCCTAAAGAACCTGAGCTTCCTAAATCCGAGCTCCCTACTAG